AGGCCCCGCCCCGCCCGGCCATTGACGTCAAGTTGACGCCAGAGCGACGCGCGGCCGAGCGCGGGCCCGGCGGGCGGGAGATCGGGCGGTTGCCAAGAGACTGGAGGCTCTGACGCGCGCGCCGGAGAGGCCGTCGCCCTGGCGACCGCGGGCGGTGACGTCAGGGACGCGGGCCGCCGAAGCCCGCCCGCTCGCGCCCCCGCCGGGCGCCCCCGCCGCCCGTCGGGGCCCGGACGCCTGGGTGGCCGTCGCCCTGGCGACCGCGGGCGGTGACGTCAGGGACGCGGGCCGCCGAAGCCCGCCCGCTCGCGCCCCCGCCGCGCGCCCCCGCCGCCCGTCGGGGCCCGGACGCCTGGGTGGCCGCTCCGGGCCCGCGCGTAGCCTCGGGCCCCACCTGCGCTCCGGTCGCGGCGCGGGGCCTGCGGGGCGGGGCGGGCTTTGTGGTGCGGAGACCCCGGCCGGAGGACGGCGGGAGCGCGGGCGCCGGTGGGCGTCGGTTCCTCGGGCTCTGTGGAAGTCTCCGGTTCCCGCGGTCAGGAACCGAACAGCACGGCGCGGGCCGCGTCCTGTGGGGCCCAACCGGCCTCGGGGAGGCTCCGGGCCGCCCTGCCGGCCCACCCCGTCCGTGGGGCCGCTCTGCTCTTTGCGCCCTTGCGCCTCGGCGGAACATCCACCCTTGTCTCGCTGGGGCCTGGCGGAGGCAGGGTAACGGGCGAACGGTAATTTTGAAGCCGTAGGAAGGCAGCAGTGTGGGATTTAAACTCCATCTAGGCTAGAGTCGTTTTTCCTTGTGTTAAATAAAAATACTCCTTCGTACAAGCGGGTGCGGAGCAAGAACTGAGCGAAGTTGGTTCGGAGCTTAGATCCCTCCCTCCCTGAGGGCAGGGGACGAGCCTCTCTGGATCCCCCCAGCCTGACCGCATTTCCCGGTCACCCCCCACACCCCAGGGTTGTTCTGGGGTCCGTTTGTTCTAAAGGCTTTTGAGGAAACTAGTAGTCCCAAATAATTTGTCTTTGAAAGCGGTCTCTTTCTTTGTCCCGGTTTATACTCCAAGAATCTGGAGTATTTTTAGTTGCAGTTGAACAGCTTACTCCACTTCTGGGCGTCCCAACACCCTGCTACCCTGTTCCTAGAACTAAACAAAAAGGGAAGAAGCCACCGCCTGATCACACTCACCATTTGGTCCCTCACTCTGCGACTTAAAATCTTCCCTGGAATCAAACTCAACACCCAGGCTTCTGCTGCCCTCCCATCACCCACCCAGCCCAGATCTAGCCAGGGCCTTTTGAAAGGTCACAGGTGTTTGCAAACACCTGGCTGGCTGTTTGGAAACATTTCCTCAGTGTCCCAAACAGCCATGGCTGCCTTCCCAGACACCGTCTGGGACACAGGTGCCCCTGACCTGCCACCCCCCAATCCCTCCTAAGCTGCCCAGATCCTGAACAGCCCTGTGCCAACAGTGACCTCCTGTCTCCCCTTCCCCAGCCCCTCGGGCCAGGAGCTTGCCCTGCAGAGAAAGGCGGAAATGCAGAGGAAAAGGCCAACCTCGACCCAGGAATGGCTGTCACCTCTCCCCAGCGGGGCTCCTCCTGGCACCCGCATGGATGAGCTTTCCACACCAGTGGCAGCTGCTCCCCGGTGTCTGCGTGTCGTGTCCTTGGCCCTTGGAGGCTGCACTTCCTTTCGGAATCCTTGAGTTCTCTTCAGTTTTCTAGTCTCCACGCGTCTCACACGTCATGAGGAAAAACACATACAGTGTGTGCTTCGAAAGATACAAGCAAATGATTCGAGGAATTTCTCATTTAGCATAACGGAAGAAATACTCTCAACGTCTGCAGGAATGGTACCTTTATTATTACAGATTTGTGGGAAACAGTTTTCTCTTCCATTTGGAGTCTCTTAAGCCTGTCTTGTAATTGCAGTTTCCAGTGTTGATCTGTTTTTAGACCTTGAGACTGGAAACCCTATCCACGGGAACTGGGTCCCTTTCACAGTCCTAGTTCAGGGTCCTAGTTCAGCCCCTGGGCGCTGGCCGTGGGCATGTCATTAAACTCTCAAAGTCAATCTGTAGATGCAGAGGGGAGCTTGGGGGCAGCATTTATTCAAGTGGGTGGGTGCCCAGCGGGCTCCAGTGCAGCTTAAAGGGACCTGCGGAGCATCCTTTTCAAGATAGCTTCCCCCAGCCCTAGGAAGACCAAACGCTTTTCTTTCTTACCCCTCCCTTGTAGACGCCCAAGGCCCTTCTCTGTCCTCCTGGCTTTGTTTCCTTGTTAAGGCTTTCGCCTGATGACTTCAGGTACCAGAAAGGAAGAGCAACCTATTCAGGACTCAGGTGCAGGCCTGGGTCTGCTCTGCCCCGTGGTGTTTGGAGAGTGTGACAAGAGACGTGTGTGCCCTGGGCCAGGAGGTCCGGCCCCGGCCTGGGATGGGCAGGCAGGAGGGAAGCCCCAAACCCTCGAACCCTCAGTGGGTGGCCCAGTCGTCAGGGTAAGTCAGGAGCTCTCGGCGAACAGGTCCACCCAGCGACTGCCCAGCACCGCCCTTGGATGGCATCACCCCTGCGTTGCCTCAGCCCGGGGAGCCGCTGGCTGCGTGACGGCCTCATTCAGCTGCTCGGGTCCAGCCAGGTCAAGTGTCCCATTTTCATCAGGCCGGGCTTCCAGGGCCGCCTCAAAGGACCACAGGTGACGGCAAAGCGGGCCGGGGCCCTCACCTCTCAACAGAGAGAAGAAGTGGAGAGACCTAGAATGAGATGGTCCCTGGGGCTGGGGATGTTGGAACAGGGGTGGAGGGGAACCGGAAGGTCTGGAGAGGCAGTCTGGGTGGGCAGAACAGAATTGGGACAGACTGGGCTTTCCCGCATGCACCCAGAACCTATCCACGGACTAATTGGCCCTTCCAACTCCAGATTTCCAGGGTTTTGAGTTCCCACGTCTGTGTGTGTCCTTAGTGAGGAATGTTAATGTGGCTGACAGGTTTGCTTGGTATCAGAGCAGGGCTGCAAGGCTGAGGGCCCAAGAGGCCTTTGGCCCATGTGCTGAAGTCCTGGGGAAGCTGGGGTGGACGCGGGATGGGGCCAGTGTCGGGGAGAGGCAGCAAGGGCCAAAATGGGGTGTCAGCACCTACGGGGGCTCGTTAGGAAGAGCACAGTCGACAACCTGGTTGTCACCAGGCCTGACCTGGCGTCTCCGGAGTAAACCTGCATCCGTAAACGCCAGTTTCCCGCCATTTTACTGGAGGTACCAAGCGATTGGGGAGCAAAGTTCCGACACCTGCCGCACTGCAGAGCAGAAGCCTCTGGGATGCTCTGGGCCTCGAGCAGATGGGGGCGACCAGGAGCCCGGGGTGGGCTGCGGAGTGTTGGTCATGCCCCGTATTCTGGACTTTCTGCTGGCCGCACAGGGCACACGACTCCTGCCCCAAGAGGGAGCCCTCTGAGTGGCGTCTGGCATTGAAGTGTCTCCAGGTGACCCACTGGCATTGAGCACAGTAAACTTTTTTTTTTTTTTGGTTATTATTCACTCATTCAAAAAAAAAAAAAAGGGAATTTCTACCATTTGCGGGGAGTAGACATGGGTAAGCGCGCTCCGACTCTGCTGTGAAACAGTGACAGACAGACGCAAGCTCGAGGGCCAGGGCGGGACACACAGGTCCCAAGAGGGAGGTGAGACGTCGAGATGCCAGCGCGGGTTTCAGAGTCATCTGCCAGATGGTCCAGAAGGGCTCAGGACACACCTGCTGCCTGTCGGGCCCTGCTGGGGGTGTGGGCACCGTGGGAGACACGACAGACACCCTCCCTCGAGGACCGTCCACTCCGGCGGAGGAGAATGGCGCCGCAGACATAAGAGGAGGAGGACGGTGTTTCAGAGGGCAGTGGTGACAGGAAGAAAGTGAGTGGGGCTGGGGATAGGGTGCTGTGCCAGGAGTGTGGCCTTGGGTGGGGACTGCCTCCCGGGGCGGGGCACGGGCAGTGGGCAGCCACCTGCGCCTGCCCTCTGGAGCGCTGAGCGGCGTCTCGGCAGGAGCAAGGAGAGGAGAGAGAAGACGGAGACGAGCTCCGAGCAGGGAAGGCAGACCTGGCGGAAGTACCCACGTTGTCAGATGTCCGTCTGCTACCCGTTGCCCACAGCTTGTGTGGCTTTTGCTCAGAGCTGCTTCGGGGCAGCGTGGCCCGTCGGGGCTTCCCAGCGAGGGGCACTGCCGAGGACGAAGGGAGGGAGGCGGAGGCGGGGCCGCTGGCCCCATCAGGCAGGAATGGGACGAATGCTCTCTCAGCAGACTGGTTTTGTCCTATAAAGCACTGTTTTTTTTTTTTCTAAATGTAAAAATTAATAGAAAATGCTAAGTAGAAAATTAAGAAAATATAGAAATATGTAAATATGAAAACAAAAAGCGCCGGCAGCGCTATTGGCAATTGGACGTTTTTCATTAGAACGGTACCGGGGCGTCCCCATCCGTCACTGTGTGTAGCCTTCTCCCCCACCCCCGCCTCGCCCAGGATACATCTTGCCTTGTCGCCGAATGCGGAGCAGAACTGTGACTTTCAGGTGTCTGCCTAGAATGCCCTTGTGGAATTGGACCCACTGTCCCCATGGAACACAGTGCTGGGTGGCCACTGTCTCCTCCGAGGGTCTCTTTGAGAGGGACAGCACGGCACAGCATGGGCCGGTGGCCTGGGATGAACAGATTGTCCTGTCCCAGCCCCCAGACCCTGGCCCAGGCTGCAGAGTGACCTCCGACGAGCCTTTCCTCCCACAGTCTCTGGACTTGCTCTGGGATGGCGCGGCCGTCTGGGAGACATCCGGGGTCAGGACTGACCGCCTGGCCCAGCCCCTCGGGCACAGCCCTAAGGAGGAGGGTTCGCTCGGCTCCAAGAACAGGAACCTCGGGAGCACAGGGCCCCAGACACTTCTGGCAGCCGCGGGGCTAGGGCCGTGGCAAACTGCGAGCACGCGGTACCGGTTGCCAAGGCAACGTGGAGGCCTCTGCCTGTGAGGAGGACACTGGGGACCAGGACTCAGGCAGTGTCAGGCCCTTTCAGCGCAGCCCGCAAAGGTGTGCTCTTTCTTTCTGACCTGGTTTTATGGTTTTGGGTGTTGCTGTTGTTGTTTGTGTAAAAAGAAAACACATTCACTTATGAGGCAGTGAAGACATCATTGGATCAGCTGATACAAATGAACATAAACTAGTTCCCAGGCCGAGCACTGTCGTGACACCTTATCACGCAAGGCTGTTGTGACATGGGACAAAGCGGGACAAAGTCCAGTGGCATTAGCACACCATTGTCACGCTGGCATTTCCACTGTGGTGCCTGTTAAACCAGAAAGAACAAAAGTTTGGTGGGAAAAATAAAGTACACTTTTCCTGTAAAACACAGCTCATTCCAACACTACTTAGAACAGAGCGACAGCGAGAAAGTGGGCAGAGCGTCTTGGGACCATCTGGGCCAGGAAGAAGGTCCAACCATCCCTTAGTTAGGACCAAGATTCTCTGCGTCACCTTGAGGCCTGAAAGGAAGTTTCCAGAAGCTTCTTTGCACAAAAAAACCCACAGATTTAAAATCAGTGAGGTTCAGGAGTTGGGCCAGCAGGATTGGAACCAAGGAGTCTCAGATCCCAAACGAGCTGTGTTGCTTCTGAGTTCTCAGAGCCAGGGCGCAGGTGCGTAGCTGGTGGGATGGCTGCCTTTGGGTTTCCCTTGGTGATATCCGGATGGCAGAAGAGAGATGTCATAGAACAATAGGATGTAACGTGATCCGTAAAGAAGTTCAAGCACTTAATAAAAGAGGAAGCACCTGGCCGCCTGGGTCCGCCCAGCCCACTCCATCACCCCATCATGATAGTCACTGGGTCCTTGGGGAAGGTCCTCCCTCACCCCATGCCTGGCAATGCCTCGGAGATTCCCAGGCTGACTCCGGTCGGAAGGGTCTTTCTTCATCGTCATCCGCTGCCGGCAGCCCGGACTGGCTCTGAGCGCTCACGGCTGCTCAGCTGCAGCTGGGGCGGTGGGAGGAAGGTGACGTTGAGACTCCTGCCCCAGCTCCCAGCCGGCTCTGACTGTCCCTGCTGGGCACCCCTGGTGGCCAGGGCCTGGGCCTGGGCCTACGTTTCTATGGCCAGCGTGCAGCCCGTTTCCTGAGCGGACTGCGTGCTGCTCTTCCTGGGGCTTCGAGTTTTTTTAAAACAAAGCTTGGTGG